TAATTTTTTTTTAACAATTTGAATGTAAACGTAAATACTTGAAACATTTTTATCTTGAACAAGAAATCTTATTTATTATTAAAAAAAATAAGAAAATCTACTCTGACTTCACTAAATTTAAAAAGTTATAGCCACGTTTAGGTGTAGTACCCACTTGCAGCATAGATAAGATGTTTTTTCTTACTTTATATATAATTAACTCCGATAAATTTTAAACGAACTTAAAAACAAAATGTATTTTCTACAGAAGTTTAATCAAAGTTTCAATAAATTTTATTCTTGATAAAATTTTTATCTAAAAGGGTTTTTTAATAAAACAAATTTTTTGTGGGTTTATTTAAATATTATAATATTTAAATAAATATAATATATTTGAATTTATTGTTATTGTAATATGTAGGTACAAATAGTTTTGGTAATTGTTTTTTACATTTAAAAGTGTTTAATTTTAAAAATGCTTAACATTTTAGTAAGGGGACATCCATTAATTACGTGAGATAAAAATATGGGGGAGGGGTCTAACAAAATCTCACCAAATCTCATGTTAAGGGAGGGGGGTCATTAAAAATCTTTATTCGTTATTTTTGGGGTTTATCATGTTGTCCGCAAAGAAAGTTTAATGGCTAGAATCTCACGTGATTGAATTATCAGAAAAATGCCTCACGTAATTAATGTCCCCTAATTAATTAGGACATGTCTGATGTTAAAATGGTTTTTAAATACTTTACATACAATTTAAAATATCCCAGCTGGTACAAATCTGACATCTATTGTAAAAACAACGAAACTTCTAACTTAACTTTAGTTTTCTATACAAGAAGTTTTAATTTTTTAAACCATCCAATTCCATTTTATATTGTAATATTATCATAATTAATATTAAATCGTGCAATTTTATAGTAATAAAGAATCAAAATAAAACCACTTTGAGTTTTGGTGGTCTTCCATTAAGAACAATAAACTGCATGTTAATTGTTTTAAGTATCATGACTTTCAAATTATAGTGCTCATTTAAAATTTTAATTGAAATTATCATCGACATACGATTAAAATCGTAAAATATAATAATGTTAATTTTTGACCTTAATTAAATGAAAATCGGCCGTTTCTGAGAAGCGAATAACTGGAAATGACTATTTTATATTATTTATTGTCATGTTTGATACAAAGTTACAATGATTATTTTTAACTTTTTAATTGAGGTTTTAAAATAAAACGCTTATTTAAAATATAGTACTTACAATTTATTATAACCCTTTATTTTTATATACAGTTTTTACAAGAAGGTTTTTAAAATATAATGTTTAATATTATTTTAAAAATTTAAGCACAGCATGGACCCTAGTTCCTATAACCAAGAAAACTAATTACATTTAACAATATTTAGAATGGATTATCTCGAAAAGCTAATATTTATATTTAGCGGTGTTTCACAGGGGCGTTGCAGATACAAATGTAATAGTGCGTGGCGTGTTTCTTAAATATTGCTTTTTTCTAATATATCCTATCACATGTTTTGTATTTCTATAGAAGATATATTAAATTAGGTACTCAAGTCCTTATATCAAATTTCCTTTGCATAGTTTTTTACCCGTAATGTATGCTTTAACAAACAAAAGGTTGTAATTGTAATTTAATCACAAAGAGACAATTTTTCTTCCATAAATGTTCACTTTTGCTATGATACCGTCAAGTATCGCACCTTAGGGGCAATCCATATCAAATCAACCAATTTAATTTAAAAAGATCACTATAAAAATGTATTTTTTTATGTTTGCAGTATACCTACTGAGTAGGTTCTACTCAGGCACCCTATTAAAAATGCCATATAGAAACACAAAATAAAAATCTATATGGTTCTATCTGGTTCAATATAGGAATTTGAAACAGGCATTGCACTATTGAACCAGATAGAATTCCATACATGGAAAACCATATAGAAAAGTGATTTCTATATGGATTGCCATATAGGTTCAGATTGAACCATATTGGAGCTCTATCTATGGTTTGGATATGAAAAAATTATTACCATATAGATCCATATTTAACCATATAGGGGAATCTATATGGTTTAATATGCAATTTTCGTTTAAATAAATATACATTTTAAAATGGAATTCCATATTCAACCATATAGGGAAACCTATATGGAAAGACACATAAAACAGAAACCAGATAAATCCATATAAAAATCCCTAAGTTGTACATTTTAAAATGAAATTCCATATTAAACCATATAGATTCCAAAGTGTAAACCAGGTCGTTCCATATAGGACATATAGAACTATATAAATCCATATTAGTTTCCTTATCTGGATCAATATGGGTTCTATAGGGCATTTTTAATAGGGCAGGTATTCATTAATTTTTTAAATGTTCAGTTTCTTTGTGAGCGGTAGTTTTGGTGCGTTATCCTATTTTGCATTTAATAGAAGTTCTTGTTAAACTCTGTAGTTTCCTGGTTTTGACCGATATTTACTAGGTAATAAAAAAGTTAATAGTAAAACTAAGACTCACCTTTAATTTTTTTCTGGATATAGCATTTATATTCTACTAGTACAATAAAAGAGTGTTTTTAAAAAATTTTGGATTTTTTAAGTGTCTTTAGATTAAAAATGCCCGATTTTAGCTATTTTAAAAAAATGTCTAAAATTTAAACCACTTATAACAACACAATATAAGAATTTTTATCAACAAAAATATTATACATTTTATGCTTTTTAACGTGGTTACAGAGTTTTACGCAAAAATCGGTGGGGGTAGCAAAAAAAAATTTGTCAGCAACCATCATTGGTTGATTTGATATGAATTGACACCCTCAGGGGTTTAACAATTGTTTAATTTAGTAGGTATAAAAATACAAAGTTTTAAATCAGTATTAAAAGCCACCAAGTCATACATTTAACAATATTCGTTAGGTTGAAAGCTTTTTAGTAAAAGTTTTTAATAAAAATTATTGTTAGTTAAATTATTGTTGTCACGAAATATGATCGCCTCCTCAGAAGAGTGCATTAATACTCACTCCTATATAATATATCTACTACTACGAATTGTAGCCTACAATGGAAAAAAATCAAAACTTTAATTCTATTAAGTCGATTTACTATATATAATTAGTTTTGAATTTATTTTTCCATTGTAGTGGTAGAAATATTATATAGGAGTAAGATAAAAATGTACTTCTATTCTGAGAATAATATATATTATGTATCGTTTGATAAACGGCACAAGTTTTAATTAGGTACCAGAGAAGCTTGCGAGTGTCTAGAAAAGCATATCAACGAGTTGCATACTTTACTTTTTCTACGACGAACACAAAATTAAACAATTTTCAACAATAAATAAAATCTGGCATCTATCAGTCTGTTCTAACCTCACTTCTTAGTCGCATTATTTTAACGATTGTATGACATTTGACAACTGCAAATAACTTCAGCCCGTGACTAATTATTAAAAGGTCGTGAAGTCACAGTTTGTTAATGTGTATTAAAACCTTAAAAGAAAAATATAAGATTTTGACCAAGAATACATGAGACAGGACAGTCAACTCTGTTGAAAAAGCGTGCAGTATAGCTTTCCGGTGGTGGGCGATGCTTTCTCGTGACGTTATCTTTTTTATCCAATTGCCGTGTTTTTTTACCACAAAGATCAAATTAAACGAATTGTGGTTGGTCAGTAAAAAAATCGCGTGTGCTTAAACCACGCCCACCTCTTGAAATCTACACGGCACGTTTATGTACGCGGCCGAGGATAGGGATTCGAATATCCTTGATTTTGACGATAATATGACACTTGACACCTAACTAACTACTTTCAGCCCGTGACTAAAAAGTCCAAAAGCCACTGTTGCCAACTTCAACCCGTAATTAAAAAGTCGCAGCTTGTCAATGTTATTTAAAAGATGTCATGAAAACAAAAATTAAAATTGTTGATTGTTTCGACCTTTACTTAATGAAACTCCATATTATTAATATATGAATAAAAACAACACTGTTTTAATGTTTCACTATTTTATTTATGTTTTTAACAATTTTCTCGCTACACAGTAGCTTCTTCAGAAGTGTTGTTTTTATTCATATATTAAAAATGATAATGTGTGTTTTAAAGGTGAGTTAAAGGTGTTTTAAATCTATAACATGTTTTTTTAGGAATTATAGTTAAAGAAGTAAATTACGTACTAAGCAAATATACCTTTTTCGTCAATTTCGGATAGAAATGGTATAAAATGAGGCTAACCAATGGTTTTACCTACCAATATTGTCTAAGTAGCGGAAACCATTAAACAAAGGACTAAGAAGTTTTGTATGATAAGTTAATTAACGAGAACATAATTATTGTATTTTGTTTTATTTAATTTTTAAATAAATCCTTCCCTGTAAAAGTTATTGAAGTTTTTAAGCTGATTTAAAAAATGCTTAATTTCCATTGTTTTTACATGTATACAATGTATACTATACATGAGCATTGCATTGGCTAAAAAGAATTTTTTGACATTAGGAGCAAATGTTTTAAATTTTTTTATGATGCATTAATGGTGTATTACTATCTTGGCTTACGCCTAGGACATAAGAAAAAACTTTTATGCGACTAAAAACTGGGTTTAAACTTTTATAATTTTCCACTCGTCAAACCCTTTCATTTGATACCCATGCCAAGGAGGTTAAAATGACAGATGACAGATATCAAAATGACAGGTGAGAGATGTAAAAAAAATTGGTTTTAATATTAAATAATATTTTTTTTCATTAGCATAACTTAACAATAAAAAAAATCTGAAAACTCTTGCCAATTAAAACCGAAATGTGAATACAATTCTTACTACTGTTTAATAAATACATTTTTTTGTTAAAATTAAAAATCCAAAAACATAATATTTCTCAAAAATATTAATCAATACTCCTTTCAACCACCAACTCAAAAATATTATAAACAAACTCGGTAACATTTCTTCTTGCGGTTGGCAGTACTGACGACAGGACAGACGTGCCCCAGTGGCTTTGCTATCCTTGGAAACAGTGCAGTTGGTCGGCGGAAAACCCGATTTCCACCAGAAGTTTTTCCGCTAGGTCGTTAAACGCGTTCGGACCGCACACGCACACGAACATGTCCTTCGTGGTGTATATTGAGTCTTTTAAGTCCTTTTGGATCGTGGAATTAAGGAGCGAGGCATTCACGTGGCCACGAAGTCCTTGCCAGCTTTCTTCTGCATCGGATAGCACGTGGTCTATTCGTAATCTAAAAAAGGAAGTGGTAACATTGTTGTACAGGGTGGTCCACGTAAGGTGACCCATATACTTATCTCAGAAACTACTGGAGTCACAAAAAATTTGTAAGAAACAAATATTCACGAAGTAAAAAATATTTTTAAAATATTATATTTTCATTTATACAGGGTGTTCAGGGCTCCCAGCAGGTAGTTTTTTTAATGACTTGTCTATATTTTTGTCTTAAGTCTATAAAAGTCTATTTTTTTACCTAAAGTCTATAAAGTCTATATTTTATGTTAAAATCAACTATTAAAAATAATATAAATATTCACAGTTTTATAAATATCGAAACCACAGTAAACCAAGTGAAACATTCGAAAACTTCGCAGTTTACATTTAAAGTTCCCGCCGTCCAGACCCGAACCGCCCGCCAAAATTATTGCTGAATTGTTTCTGGTTTGGTCTAGGGTTTCGTTTACGTTTATAGTTTCGGTTCGCTAGGTTAACACTACCTATATATGCATTTTTCATGAAATTAGTAAGTACCTAGTACCTATCAAAGAACATGTGACAAAGAATGTGTTCCTATTCTATGTTTTATTATCCATTCCATAACCCTAAAATATATGTTCAGACGATAGCAAAGGTAAGTGTATAACTATAGTTTTGATTATTAAAAATTATACATTTATATTATTTAATAAAAACAAAGTTTAAATGTACTGACATAAAAAAAATTAAATTGAACGATTAAGGAAGGGTGCAGAAAATAAAAAAAATGACTAAAATATGTATGGCTCAACTAATGTTTGAAGGAGTGAACCATCCCAAAAAAGAAGCGGGGAAGGTAACTTACAAGATTAGTCGTCTTGCCCAAGATTTAGAAAAACGAAAATTATAGATCAGCTGCAGCCCACCAAAAAAAATATAACCCATTAAATGACTGATGCCAGTGCCTTTTATATAAATGTGATTCTATTAATTATAAGTTATAATTTATTACAGAATTTAATATTTTTTTTATTATTTATGAATTTTATAACAGTTATGGTTACTTGTTAAATTTAATTCAATAAAAATTTTATAATTTCAAATTATCTCTATGTATTTTAAATTCAAATTTAGATCTTTTATCCCAAAAAAAGTATACCTCCATTTTATAGTTATTTCGGTAATTAATTTGGTCTATATTTGGTCGTTTATTTTTTATTATTAGTCTCTTAAGTCACTATTTCTCGCAACATGGACTGCTGGGAGCCCTGAGGGTGTTCGGTTTTCCTTGGGACGATACCAACTTTCTTATTTTCAATGGAACACCCTGTATTTTTTTGCATTTTTGGATTCTACCCACTCTAAAATGCGAATATTTTTTTTTCTGTTAGGTTTAGGTATAGGACATATATATAAAAAAAGAAAGGTAATTACTTATTCTATCCAATTATGCAAAAATATATAGGGTGTTCCATTGAAGAAAAACAAGATTTTAAACTTTTAAAATCGCTATTTTCAACGGGACATAGAAAACACCCTGTATGATATTTTCCAAAAAATATAATAATTAACTTATAGCTTACTTATTATTAAAGAGATGGATACTACATAATATAAAAAATAATAACTTTTAGTTGATTATTTTTAACTTTTAGCGAGTGTCTACATTTAGAGAAATTTTAATAAATCTTAATTTTACTCAAAAAGTATTAACATTTTCTTAATTAATATATTTACAGAGTATACCTAAAAGAGTGGGTAGAATCCAAAAATGCAAAAAAATACAGGGTGTTCCATTGAAAATAAGAAAGTTGGTATCGTCCCAAGGAAAACCGAACACCCTGTATAAATGAAAATATAATATTTGAAAAATATTTTTTACTTCGTGAATATTTGTTTCTTACAAATTTTTTGTGACTCCAGTAGTTTCTGAGATAAGTATATGGATCACCTTACGTGGACCACCCTGTACATTTTAATTTTCATATTTTGATATTAAGTATATGCACTTAAAAAACGCCTTTATGCTTGGGTGTAACGTTACTCCTTGCTTGCGGCCAAGGGGTAAATAAGGCTATTTTTAAAAGTGAAAAACAAATTTAAAAAAACATACAACAACGCTTTGATGGGCCTATAAACCCTGTTGTAAATGACCGATTAATTCCTGTAGAAACCAATTGAAGTATTGGTTAGTATCAATGGGTCTGAATTGGACTTACTGGATTTAATTAAGGGCGATATAAAACAGAAATTGGGTTTTACTGGTATTTTGCATGATGAAAAAGTCCAATTAGGATTCTAATGTTTTTTATTGGTTTCGATTGGATAAAGCTACATAATATAGGTAATTTCCAATTGAATTCAATTGGGCATTCCCAGTGTAAGATTCGAAAAATCTGCTAATTGGTTATTCCCAATACAATACAAATATTGCAAGAGGGCTCTCGTGTAGCTGCGCAAAACCAACGAGGTTGAGACGGCATCATAAAGAAAAACAACACAAACAAGTCTTTGGACGCCATTTATTAGCGGTTTTTTTATTCTGTCTAGTGATAGTAGTGTTAAAAAAATGTTTATATGTGTGTTTAGGGACGATGGCGTAAGTATGGTTGTCACAGCGGACAAAATATATAAATAAAATAAAAATAAATAAAATTTGACATAAACAATATCGACTTCGACCATGCCTATAGGCATACAAACATCCTTTGCAAGAAAGACAAAAAATGATTATAACCGAGTAATTTTATTTATTTTTTATTACTTTTTTGTGATAGTAAGTTATATGTATCAATACATACATATATTACAAAAAAAATAATAATGAAATAAAATTACTCAGTAACAATAAATTTTTTGTCTCTTCTGTGAAAAATGAATTCTGGTTTTTACCCGGTTATCCTTCTGGGATCTAAAACTATTTTTGAATGAAAAATAAACTGGTAGGTATTTTATAATCCAAATTAAAAAATATTAATTGGTTTTAATGGAATGGGTTTGGCGCTATGAATTACCAATTCATTCCATGTGCATTTCTATTGGATTTAGCCAATAGAGACAAGCATAGGTATGGATTGGTATTTTCCAATCCAAGCCGCTGACTTCCTTGGAATTTACCAATAGGAATGCAACTGGAATGAATTGGTGATTCATAGCGCCAAAACACATTTCAAACCAATTGCTTATTTTTATTGGATGCTATTGGTCATTTACAATAGGGAAGCTCTCAGAATCTTATTTGAGGAAAACTTCCTAAAGGTTGAAAATGTAAGCAAGTCAAGCTTGAAAACCAATTAAAGATGTCAAAAAATATTGAATGAAAATAATTAAACAGTAGATATAAAAAAACACAAGCTTGCTCGTTAATTATGTATTGAGTTGTTTACTAGTTTCTAAAATTTTAAAAGTAATGACCTAAATAAACAAGTTATTAAGCCCACATGAACTCCCTATGCGCTATTTTTTTATTTAACATTTTCTATTTTTTTAGTATTTTCTGTTCACTGTCTCAATTTATCATTAAATTTCAAAAATATTGTTTATATTAATATTTTTTATAAGAAAACACATTCTTGAAATTGTTATTTAAATAAATGAACACTTATTCCTTTAAACCATAAACCAGTATTCATGTTATAAGTCCAGACGCGCATTAATCAAAGTTTCTTCCCTCCCGTCGCGGCCCTCTTGTTTATTTATTTGCACCTCGGCTATAACTATAATTATAATTATAGTTATATAATTATTTATCAATCAATGTTAAATTTTCAGAAAAACTTACCCAAGCTATAAAACTTCCTTAAGCTTAATGATCATTAAGCCAAAGGAAGTTTGTGTTAAAATTCTATAACATTCGCTAGTTAATTTACAAAGTTATAGCAAATTAAGTTTAAAAAAATATATTTTTTTAATTTAAAATTTTTTCGTTTTAATTTTTATCTCGGAAACCAATAAAAATATGGAAGAAAAAATTACACCACATAAAGTGCCTAAAAAAACTATTTGATTTTAATCAATTTTTAATTAATAAGTTCTGCGAACTTAAACCTGGATACAACCATAACTGCTTTCCGGGCCCTCATTTAGGTTATGTATCAGTTAATTCAACGCTAATTTCGTCTAATTCTCTGAAAATATAACATGTAAACGTAAGGATAAGTTTCTCATTTAAATTTTAAATTGGGTCTTTTGGGTGTGAAGATTTTTTCGAAGGCAAATATTTTTTGGTGATAAATGGCCTAATTTTTCGATTTTAAAATATTCTGAGCAAAGTTTTTGAAAAAATTTAACCAAACTAGACAATTCTTTTTGAAATGAACTAAATTAGTATTTTTTTGTTAATATCAAACAATGTTGGTAAAACTGTCTACTTTTTGAAAAAATGTATAGGTTAAGTAGTTAAGCCAGGAGTAACTAATTGGGCACAAGAAATACTTTTTACTGCATAGAATTTATTTATTTTTCATGATATACAGTGTGTCCACAGATGGACAACTATACTTTTAAAAATATTTATTTTCAATTTTTAGAGGAAAAGTCAGTTTTCATAATTTCTTTTGCTTGTTATATAAATACGATTCACGTTCATCCATTTTGTTGTATAGAGTAAGCAAAAATTCAGATTTTCAAAATTAAAAATTATTAAACATTTTTTTTTAATCGCTAATATAAAGAGCTGGTAAGATATTTCATATTAAAAATTTATGATTAAGAAATTTTAACAAATACATTGTAGATATGTATAATTAAGTCCATCCGTGGACACACTGTATATGGACAGTGTTGACATCATTGTTGAATATATTAAAATCTTAAATTAGTTTCATATTTTATTTATAAATTACCCCTAATAATAATAAAAAATTCTTATTGTCATTTTTAATGCAGTATTAAAAAATGTCGATTTATTACAATCAATCCTGGAACCACAACTTTTTAGTTTTTGTGAGCATATATTTTTAATATAAAAATATTTTAATTTTTTTTAACCCACAGCACCCAATAACATTATAATATTTTTCGAGAAGACCCTTTTTATAAGCTCCTACTTGATTTAAAATATACAGTACCTTTTATCTGTTTCTGACAAATCTGTAAGCTGTTTTTCAAAAATAATATCTTCTTTCCTTCTATTGAAAAACAGTAAGGCTATGGATTGACTATAACAAAAAACAGTTATTATGCATATTAATAATTTGTTATAGGTTTTATACCATTTCTTGATCCTCCTCTCCAATAAGAACACTATCAAACTAAGCATAGGGGTGATCCCAGTACCAGCAGCTAACAATATAAACTTATCCAACTTTTCCAGCCTTTGCAGCTTGAAGTTACCCAGAGGCCGAGATGTGTAGAGGGTGTCTCCCATTTTTAAATCTGTGATGTATTGGCTCAAAATTCCATGTTGGTATCTTTTTACCATAAGACACAAGGAGTCGGAGGTTTCATTTTTAGGGCCGAAATTTGTAAAGAGTGAGTCCGGTACTGAGGTGTAGCTCCTCGATATTTCAGTTCCTAAAATAGAAAATTTATACATATATTTAACGTGTAATTTAAATGTAGTATGGTCATAATTTATAATTTATAAATAAATACAAGTAAGTACATCAACATGACCTGTGATATATTGTTTATTGGTTTTAAACAAATTTTAAATTATGGCATTCCACTATTTACAATAAATTATGCGGTTTTATTTATTTTATTGCCTGTTTTATTGATAATTATGTCATAAATCATAAATAAAATGATTATAATGAGAATCGCCGACTTTTTGACAATGGTATTACAACAAATGTCTTTCTACATTACTTTCTAGTACTATATTTAAATTATATTTAATTTCTATTTGTCAAAATTTTAAGAACAATTCGTATTATAATAGTATATTATGTATGTATAAAGTTTGATAAACGCCATTTTATACACGAATTTAATTTAGGCACGAGCGAGCTTCCGAGCGAGTGCTTAAGTTAATGAGTGTATAGAAAAGTTTATAAACGAGGTGCATATACTTTTTCTATGACAAATACTTATTATTATCTTAAAATGATTTAAATCAAAAATTTATATAGAGCGCCATCTATGAAACAACAGGGGAAACTGTCAAATGTCACATATTTACAATTTATAAACACAATTATAAAGGTTATAAATCGAAATGTATCTTGAAAATTGACAGTTTTTCACAGTGAAAGTAAAGGAAATGTTTTATGAGGACTTTACAGTAGAATCCGTGTACGAATTTAAGTTATAATTTACTGCCGGCGAAAGGTCAATACAATGTTCATATAAACGTTTCAAATATTGGCGTTGAGAAACTATTTAATATTTTTGTATTTTTGTATTGAGATAATAAAATAATTTTCACATTTAGTATTATTTTACAGAAAGGCACTTTATTTTAACGATTGTATGACATTTGACAACTGTCAACTAACTTAAAACTAACTTCAGCCCGTGACTAAAAACCTGTTGCTAACTTCAGCCCGTGACTAAAGAGCCGTAAAGCCACAACTTGTCAATGTGTATTTAAAAGGTCACTTAGTGTCATGGAAACATGTACGATAAAGGGCGTTTTAAAGGTGGGAGTAGAAAAATTATATTTGCGTATCGTACTGTTACCATGGAGACTGCTTATTTTGCACACAAATAGAAAAATAAAATTAAAACGTTAAACAAGAAATTACCATTAGTAATAAATAAGTTTGGCAAAAGTGAGAATTGGTTCCCTGCTGCGTAACACTTTACACATTTAATCCCGGCGAATTCGCCATTTTTTAAACAAAATTTATTCACTAAAAGTTTATTTAATTTAACAAATTTGCACAATAAGATAAATTAAATTGTGACACATTTGCACGGTAGGAAGAATTTGGTGCAGTCATATTAGCACAAAAAATCAGAAGGAAAAGTTAGATTTTAATCTCATGTAAATTTGCAATATAATACATACCTACGGTCTAGGGGTCGAAAATTGAACAAACATAATCTATTTTTTAGAATAGTATTACATGTTAACAATATTGCTGTTGAAGCAATATAATAATTAATTAAAAAACCGTAAAATCTGTCAGGATTTCGAAAAATGTTTATGTTGTTCTTTTCTCATAACTGCAACTATGATGAAGATACAGAATAATTACTTCTTATAATATTGTTTAAAATGTTGTAATAAAGGTTCACACTAAAATCCAGACAAAAAATTTTTGGAAACTAATTGACTTATTTATCTTTATTTTGAATTGGAAACACTAACCATCTAAAAATCCATCCTAAAAGATTAGTTTAAAATACTAATTCAAAGAACTGTACGCGAAATTTTGTTGTACATGTGCTGAGAATTTTTATGTTGTTTAACATTTTATATGAGTAATTGTAAAAATATCAAGTGATTGGTTGTCCCCGATAAAAATCTGCCTTACAAAATATATTTAGGAACCAAATTTAGTCCTAAAATATACAAGATAATATTTTTTTTAACCTGCACAAACAAATATAGAAAATTAAAAGTATTTTTTTAACTTTTACACTCAAATTGTCATTCGCATGTCTTGTCCCCACCCAGTATGTCTAAGAAATAAGAAATTTAAAGAGTCAAATTTTAAGAATGTCAAAAAAAGTTCGATTTTAAAAACAGCAAAAACCCTTGTCCCCAAGAAATTTTGTCATTGGTGTGTACATATTTTAAACACTTTGAATTGAGCAGGCACCGTATTTTAGGTTTTAATTTCTTGGTTTTGCCTTGGATAATGTACCTCAAAATTACTCAATATTTTAGAATCACCCATATCCTACTAATTAATATTTTTAGAAACCTGAATAAATATTCCAATAATATTGTAAAATTAAGTATTAAACATGTCAGAACTCCCAAGTGCAAACGCCTTTTATACAATATTATAAATTTTAAGTTTTAATTTGTTGGTTTTTGCCTTAGACAAAATTTACCTTAAAATTACTTAATATCCTAGTAATTAATATTTTCAGGAACCCTTATTAAATATTCAAATAATATTGTAAAATTGAGTATTAAAGAGGTAAAAACTCCTAACTCCAAATCCTTTTATTCACTATTAAAGAGGGTTTATTTACGGTTTTATTTATTAAGTTTTTAGGCAAACATACACTATGGCATACAATCTGAATGTTAAACCACAATATGCCCCAATTAAAATTGTGCACAGCTAAGCCCGAGGGATTCATATTATTAATAAGGAAATTAAACCTTTTCAAGCTTTGGACAAAAGTTTATAAATTTCATAAACAAACGAAAATTAATTACCTTCTGTATCAATAAAATCTGTAGGGCGCGTCTCCTATGGTAACAATAAATCAACAGTAATTTATTCCTTTGCATTTAAATTTAAATTCGTAAATTTTTTAATTTAAGGTGTGAATAAAATTTATTTTTATACGAGTATACAGGATAAACAAATTATTTATTATATGCATATTTTAAAAAGAAAATATTAAAAAATCATAATTTCTTCATAAAATTTACCAGGAGCGTGCATTATTTTTTAAATAAGTTAATATTTAAAATGTCATTGTATTTTTTCAAAAACCTTTAATTTAATTAAAATTGGTTACCCTTAAAATTAAATAAATATATTAACATAAACATGTTTTACAAATATATAAATTGACGTGATTGAATTAATTATATGAAGCTACAACACAGTCCCAATTAAATTTGTCAATTTGCAGCTGAAGCAGCGCGTGTCATCAAATTAATAAAGCAATTAAAATTGTTGCCAGCTTTAGACAAAGCTTTTTAAAATATATTTTGTCATTTAACCAAAAAATAACGAAGATATGAATAAAAATTTAAAAATAAAAAGTATGAAAAAAGGCACATTTAATAAAAATAAAATATAAAAACTGAATTTTTGACGAAAATGAGTTTATCTATCTATAATTATTGTCAGGACTTGTTACTAAAGTTATTGATTATAGCCTAAGCACTTAAAAATTGTTTAGGTCAATTATTTACTACTTTGGACCGATAAAAAATTCGACTTCTATCAGATCTACCTAACCTTACCTTCTACTTTTAATATTAGGAAAAGAAAAATAAAAAACGAACCATTTTTAATATGAGGCGGGCAAGATTAATGTTTTAGAAATTTTTCCTATACAGTAAAATAGGCGAAACACATTTTTTTAACTATTACAAAACATTTCTGGCTTCGCTACATAAGTTATAAATTACTAAACCTATTTTTTTTGTAAGTAAACTTTTAAATTAAGTTTTAACACCCAAAGGCAATCAAAGGATTTGAACCGAATTCTTCACATTTAAAGTGAAGTAGTTTTAAAATCTTGTATATTACAGAGTGTCTGTAAAGATTTGTGTAGGTAAAAAATAATAGAGTTCGGCAAGTTTGCAATGCTTCTTCGTTGTTCCATTGACTCAAAATTCAATAATATTTATAATATAACTTCCAAAATAGGGTTAAAACTGTTTTTTATTCCATTTGTAAACTTAAAAAGTAGCATAACTACCCTATTTTTTAATGAAGAATGTCAATAGTGATGGTCAGAATTTAGTTGTCTACAACTTAACTCTTGAAGAAAATTTTCTGGTACCGCTACTTGGGCCACAAAAAGGGTAAATATGAAATTAGCAGGTTTAGGTATAAGCAACATGACATGTATCTCGGAATCAGCGCAAAATTTCCTATAAGAATAGCCGATAAATTAATTTGATTCCCCTACATGAGGTGTGTTCAGAAAATATCGGGAATTTTCGTTTTTTGAAACAAATATTTATTTATTCGTCTACATTAATGTTGTCGCCTTCAAAATAGTTCCCATTGGATATTATGCACATGTGCCAGCTCTTCTTCCAATACTCGAAACACTTCTAAAACTCGATCTTTGAGATAGCCTTTAGTTCTTTCAGCGATGCGCTTTTAATGTCATCTATGCTTGCAAAACGACGGCCCTTTAAGGTTCTCTTTATTTTTGGGAATAGGAAAAAGTCAGACAGAGGCATGTCTGGCGAATATGGAGGCTGAGGCATCATTACAGTATTGTTTTTGTCCAAAAATTTTGTTCAAAATTTAACAATTTTAGAACAAATTTTGCTGCCACGCGTTTAATACCCAAAACATTTGAAAACATTTCATGGGATGAGCCAATCGATATACCAACATCATCAGCGACTTCTCTGATGGTTTATAACCATTTCTTCCACTTTTTCCATGTTTTTATCGGTTGTTAATGTGCTTGTGTGTTCGGGGCGTTCGTCCAACGTCTTCACGGCCATCTTGGAAACTCTTATACCACTTATAAACTCTTATAGCAGACTCACTATAGGCCTTTGTTAACATTTCACAGAATGTATTTCATTTTTTAAGCAAAATTGGATACAAATTCTTTGATACATTTCTTTTAACGAACGAAAAATCGCCGAGCTCAAAAAACACGTGTAACCTTAGCGGCTGCCACAGACAAAGTAAACAATGAAAACAGCTAAAGTTTTTATCATACTTCGGGGGCATGTATACCAACATAATAAAGAAAATTTTATGACAACCGGACCCTCCGAACCCGCGAAATTTAACAATTCCCGTTATTTTCTGAACACACCTCGTATGTCCAAAATTAGGCACTGTGCGCCGTTTTTAGGAAAAATACGTTGAACATTAACACTATTTGCCAAGTGTTTTTCATTTTTTAAGAGTTAAAACTAAAATTGTCATTTTTTCCACATTTCTCAAAACAAAGGTTTTTCTCATTGCAGTTTCAATAAAAATGAAATTAACTGTTCTAATACTTTGGACATATAGCGTAATACATTTTTATCATTTTATAACAGGTTATATACGTTTGTGATCGGGAAAATTAATGGTTTTTATAGATTTTTTTAGGTAAGTAATAATAATTTTATTGCAACGAACTACAAAGTATCATTACTTAATTGTCTATTAACGTTTGTAATTTTAAGTTCTTATTTATGAATCTAGTTCTATATTAGCTGTCTTAATTTATTATTTTTTTACTAGGAAATGTTAGAGACAACTGACAAATAGCAGAGAGCCTTAATAGTATAATAATCTATAATATTATAAGTCTATAAAAAAAAACAATGGATGATATAATTTATTACCTTGTGTATCCATGAAAATCCTGACATGTTTTCCTATAGGGACGATGTAGCGACAGTGATTTGTCCTGTCGAACTTCAACAGATAGGTGTTGTGGTTGACTTGCGTCTTTTCTGCCAGAACAAACGCCGTCCTGTCGCTCCCAGGTGTAATTTTGTCGCTATTTTGTCGCAGAATACCGTAATTATCCCAAATCTCACTCGAGATTTTATTGAAAACTAGTTCCACTTTGCCGGTCTCACAGTAAACTTTAATTTTCGGCGGAAACAGCACTTTTTGTAGCAACTTCAGTTCGTTCGTGAAACACGTGTTTAAATACGTCAAAACCACGTTGACTTCATTTTCCGCGGTCGGAGGCGTGATTTCAACGCAGGGGTTCGAAAAAGCCCCCGTGTAAAAAATAACGGTTATGGAGTTCAGTTTCTGTATCCAATCGAATCGCGGTAAAGGCAGCGAGTCGTCCAAGGGAGTTGTCGGTATGCTTAGCGATTCATTGGTGTTAAGTGGAGTTTCTTTGGTGTTCTGAGGATTTTCTTTCGGGGAGTTGGTGGGGGTTTTCAACAGGGACGGCGTTTTAAGGGACGTTTTTGGTACTATGAAGGAATCCTTGCCTAAAAATAGATCTTCTCTGTTGATACTGGGATCTATGGAGACTAATCGACCAACCACACATTTTTGTAGGATTGATTCGTAGTTTACCCATGCGTGAACCTAAAAAGTTATTTGGTTTATAAAATTTTCGATAGTCCAACAAACAATATAATCGCTATAAATTAATCAAAAGAAATAAATATCCAAATTTTGATATATATCGATATATATCAGATATTTGGATATTTATATAAATATCATGAAATTTGCCAGCCCTGTAAAGCAATAAAAACAACTTTTGCAGCTGAGATATAAACCTTTATATTCTACCAAACCACACCAAAATTTAAAATTATATCCAAAGTGCTTTCGGGGATATTAAACTACATTTACTTTTATCTATGAACACTGGGTAAAAGGCCAACTTTTGTACAACCGACAACTGTTAAAAATAATGGTTTTCTAAATGTTAACTATTGAAAAGTATAGTAAAATTACAAATCAAGTAGTTTCAAGACTGACATTTACTATATTGAATCAGAATATTTTTCATAATGTAATTGTATTCTTAGTATTTTTGTTGTAAATTTACAAGATTAAATGGTAAAAAGTTTAGAAAATACAATATTACTACAGCAATATTACTTATACAATTAGGCATAAAACTTCCTATTTTTATTGTAAAGTAGACATAAAATTTTTAAACATTGTAAGGATTTGAACAATATTAAAAAGTATTCTCTAAGTCTCCTAAATAGTTTACTCTAATTTTATAAAAATCGGTGTGCAAATGTGTACTCTGTCAAAGAGATAAACAAAAATTTAAAAAAAAATCATGAATTTTCGAACAATTTTGAAAAGAGTAGCAGCTAGAACATTGGTAAATATCATTTTTAAGTCACCAAAGGGTCCCGAACAAGAAACTACAATCAGTTTTTGGCGGAATTTTTATGTGACTTAAACTTCATTCAGGCACACCGTTAAAACGTTAGAACGGACGAGCTAGAAACGAAGCGCGCCGCGTACTGATCAAGCGCACAGCGGGACAAAAAAATTAATATCTCCGGAATGACATAGGAAAGACAAATTTTTGAGTACATCTTATTAAACGGAAACGTTTGCCGCATATTATGACACAAGATTAATTTTTTTTCAGCGTGAAGAACACATACAAAATTTCAATTGTTTATAATAAATGTATGCAAAATTATTTTATTTAAACAAATTTACCTTAATTAAATGACCATTATATAGTCTAAACATTTCTACAATAGTGTGTAAAATTTAATTCAATTATACGTAGTGGTTCCAGAGATTCTATTTTTTCAATTTTACCGTGCTCTAAAGTTTGACAAAATTGTCAACCTTAATAACATTACCAAAAAAAAAACGAATTTTAAAACAATTTTTTTACTGTGACATATGAGTCATGCCTACTACACAATAATGTGATTATTTTCAAAATCGGTGATTTCGTGAAATTTTCTGGTCCCACTTGACGTGGTTTGACTCAACTTTACGCATAGTGTTGTTTAATATTGAAAAATCGTACAATTAGGGAATTTCATGGGATTAACAACTTTGTAGTTGCATAACAGGGAATTTTAGCTTGTTTGGTTTATTACTAATATAATGGTGACGATTTTTACTATTTCTTTCCTAACACCCCCATTTATTATATTTATATTAAGCTTGAATGTACAATACCAATGTATTAAATTCATTTAAACTCTCTCCTACCTGATCAAAAATTGCGGTCGCGTCTTTTCCAGCCCCCTTCATTATTTCCTCCACTCCACCCGGATGAAAAGGCAAATATTCCGTGACGTTGTAAACCTTCCCTCGTATAGCTAACCAACAATCGTCCTCTTTATCGTGGTTGGCCAATTCCTTGGATGTCACCTGCAACGAGCAAACACAAAGGTCTCACCGCTGTCTGCAAATGAATTGTCTATAAGACAGATACGGTTTCAAGATTGAAATTCCCTTTAGGGTTCCTAATAAATAGGGATGTACAGTAGGGTGGAGCGCTACTATATAAGAAATTTTTATTTTTGTTTTTGACAGTTGTAATAGTAAAAAAAAATTGCTATAGGATATTTTAAATACTATCCCAAAATCGTTTTAAAATCAAACCATATCTTCTGCCCTCTACCAGCCTTTAAACTTTTGCCCTCGGCGCTACTTTAGGTAAAATTTTTAATTTTGTTACTGAAAGTTATTCGAATAAAAAAAGTATGTAACAAGAGATTATAAATATTACCCCAACTCCAACTTTTCAATTTTACCGCACAATTATAAAATTCACGTACAGCGCAATGTCATACAAGCCACGCCTACAATCGACGCAGTAATTGGTTAGATCGCGGTGGTCTCAGTTTGCCAACAGCTACTGTTAAGTAAAAAACAATTTGTTTGCGTTATTATTAGTGTTTAGTTTAAACATGAGTCTTTTAAAAAAGCTATATACTAGAAGAACAGTGGAATGCCCTATATTCGGAGCCCCTTGTGATTTTAGAGATAATTCATTACCCACTTACGAAGATGTCATAAAATGTTTTTTGCATGTCCGATATGAAATAAAGCCCCCTGACTCAGGAAAAGAGCCATCGGTCTCTGAAATTTGCAACATTTTATGTGAGAAAATTTGTCACTCCCTACAGTGTCTCGTACACGTGTAATTTAATGTATTCGATCGTTTCACGACACGTACCTTAAAATTATCAGACATCCACTATCAAAACGAAATGATAACTATGTACTAAAAGTAAAAAGTTTTCAAGAGAATGCCAAAACCCTTTTTGATATTAGTTCATGTAAGTGCAAAACTTTTGAAAATTGTTCTTGCATAAAACAAAATAAAGTATCCGTTCAAGAAAAATCTTTCTTAACCGATCAGAGGACGAACCGAAAAATGTAAATAGGCAAAGTTGACTTAGTAGAAACAAGAAAATTGCAGAAAAGGGAAGAAAGAAAAGAAATAGCAAAAAAGTATGAAATGCAGCCTCCATCTACTCATGACGTTTGCAAGAAAAAAATGGTAAAATTAGACGAAGTCAACATTTCTGACGAAGAAAATACTCTCGAATATAACGATGATGTTATTCGTATTGAACTAAAAACATTCGCTCGAGTTTGCGATCGATATGGTTTGTCTGACAGATCCGCAGCAGCCATCGCATCGGCTGTTCTAAAAGATGTTGGAATAATTACAGAAGGAGATACAGTTAATGTGGTAGACAGAAGTAAAGTTAGAAGAGCTAGGATAAAAAGTAGGCAAAGTTTGCAAGACAAGGATATTGACAACTCAGTAAAAGCGGTTTTCTTTGACGGCAGAAAAGATAAAACCTTGATTCAAGAAATAGGTGGAAATAAATTATATAGGAAAACTATAGTGGAAGAGCATATCTCCTTAATTGGAGAACCTGGATCTGTTTATTTAGGGCACACCATACCATCTTCAGGATCTGCTAAAAGTATTACAGAGTCCATACTAAGATTTCTTAAATTGAATAATTTTAACTTTGATAGTTTGTTAGCAGTGGGATCTGATGGGACAGTAGTAAACACTGGATCAAAAAATGGAGTTATATCTCAAATGGAGGGACAATTAAAACGTCCTTTGCAGTGGTTTATTTGCCAGCTGCATACCCTGCTGAAAAAAACTGATCGAAACTCGATCTTTTTTTATCATATTTGATCATGGTCCAGAAAATTCTCGATCCTTTTTTATCATATTTAATGAGGTTCTAGAAATTCTCGATCCTTTTTTATCATTTTCGATCAGATTTCGCAGTCGAACCTATTTGATCATAAAAACACGATCGAGTTTCGATCCTTTTTTATCATATTTGATCAGATTTCGAAGTCGATCCTATTTGATCATGAAAACACGATTGAGTTTTGATAACATATTATCGAAACTCGATCGTGTTTTCATGATCAAATATGATCGACTACTAGGTTCTTGAAATTCTCGATCCTTTTTTATCATTCTCGATCAGATTTCGAAGTCGATCCTATTTGATCATAAAAACACGATCGAATTTCGATCCTTTTTCGAACATTTTTGATAAGGTTTTCGTGGTCAAAAAGGATCGTTTCGATCCTGTTTTCATGATCAAATAGGATCGAGTTTCGATCCTTTTTGATAACGAAAACAGGATCGAAACTCGATCCTTTTTCGATCATTTTCCATAATGTTTCCATAATTAATTCTAAAATAAAAGATACAATTTTCAAAACATGAAAACTTTATTGGGCACTTTCAAAAAGATCGGATGACAACGATGATGATGATGAAATTCGTAATTATAATTACATTTCCTTATTATAAGAAAAAGTAGTATTATGTACTACTTTTCATGCGCTACCTTATGATGATTAATTAATGATACGAGGTATTGCGCCTAGGCCATCGATATATTTAAATTAAAAAAAGTTCCAATAAAATAAAATCTTGACATACTTGTCTAGGGAAATCTAGGGATTTTTTTGTAAAAAATCTGGGGAAATAAAAAAATATCATCTGGCAACCCTGTCTGTAATGTGTCTATAATCTGTGCACGTGCTTGTCATGTTGGTTAGTGTTTTTTGTTATCGATTTTACGGTTTTACTGTGGGTTTTTCTTTACTATAATAATTAAAAATTCGATGAAAAGTACTGATTGCCATCAAACAAAAAAAACTTATGATTCCCGAGTTGCGGCAATTTTTTATGAATTTTGTTTTTTCGGCCCCTGAAAAGTAAGGTTATGTATACAAATTTTACTATGAATTTATTTGTTATAGGTAAATTTAAAGACAGCAAGATGTCAATTAATTTAACCGCTGATGGACCATGTGCTTTTGTTAAATTTTGCGACACGGGGCACAAAAAAAGGGTGTTGCTGTCGGAAATTTCAAATTTCGATGCAAAAACTTTCTCTTGAAACAAGAAATACTTTATTGAACGTGAGGGAGCAACTGCGCAATGCGTTGTTTCTTTTTTTGCAAGTAAATAATTAATTTTTAGTCTTGTATATAGTTATACAGGGTGATTCAGTTTTAACCTACCAGGGAAAAATGTTCCTCCCATTATCCTGATTTAGAAAAATATCACACATAAGTTGACAAAGAAAAAACGTTTTTTCGTCATATCTTCTATGAAAATGATAAAAATTAATCATAATTTTGTATACATACCTTTCATATTAAAGCCCTATTTTTGAAAAATAAAATTGTTAAAATTTGATACAACATTGGCAAGGTGGCTCAAAATGTCTGAGAGGCAAATTTTTCATTCATTGAAATTATCTCTTTAAAAGCCCCGCAGTATCTTCATGACAAAATTCGTTTTCGCACTGATGTCCATAATGTAAATATAAGACATAGGAAAATTTTGACAATTCCTAAACATAAAACCGCTTTCTATGAAAGAGGATTTTCCTACAACATAGCCAAATATTACAATAAGTTATCCGATGAATTTAAAACAATGACTGTAAGCGTTTTCTCTAGGAGGTTTAAAGCTTTTCTCTTGAACAAAAGTATTGAGAATATTGGGAATATTGCTAATATTTTTTAGTAAAAAAAATAGCATTTTTAACGTTTATTATTTTCTTGCAAAGTGTGTGTCTATCAAAATAAAATGATTATTATAATATTATCTATCTTTTTATGTTACTTATTATAATATTTCTTTTTTCCTCTCTCTTGGCTGTGCGGAAGAACAGGTGTTGCTTTTGTTAAAAACCAACAATCTGAGCCACAGCCTTTTTACCTATATGTACAGTTGTATTCATTAAAAAAGCGTACAAGAATTAGAATGAGAGAAAACTGTCAACATTATTGCGTAAAACCGGCTTTCCACTGACTTAAGTCACTATAACTGACAGTAGAAAATAAAAATGCCTCGTCAGTTGAAAAGGCTCAAATAGTATCAAGAATCAAAGAAGAATGATCAATTCGTACTGTGGTATAATAGAAATAAAAAATCTATATTAAAAATTAAGCAACGCTGGGAACAGGAAGATTTAAACCAAAAAGTTGGTTCAGGTCGTCCCAAAATGTCCACCCCTGAACAGGATGCTGCTTTTTTGAGATATCTGAGGATTTATGGGAAACTATACAACTATACTATACCTACTATACTGCTGGGAAGATATTAATCCAAATATTGTATTAAATTTAATTCAGTTCATCCCAAATAGATAAATAGGGATGAGTCAATATTAAATTTTGACTAAATATTAAATTTTTTTTTAATGTTTGTTTTTTTCATTATTAAAAGGTAATAATTTTTGTAATAATATTTAATTAACCTACGACGTCAATGCTCTTTATAACCTATAGTAATTATTTTAATGACAGTGATAAGCCGGTTTTAAGCAATAATATTATTTTGACAGTTTTCTCTCATTCTAATTCTTGTAGGTTTTTTTATTGAATACAACTGTACCCGTAATAGTTATTTATGTATTAAGGGCATAATAAGGTTTTTATGGTCCGAGGCGCTATTTCGAGCCTGAGCGCGTTAGCCTTATGCACGATTAATATATTATTATTTTTAATATATTATTGTTTTTAAAGACGTTTACGTCAAAGAATTTTTGTTATAATTGTCATATTATAATGTCATCGTGCATCGTTGACATCAGTCAGTTTTAAAGTTTAAAGATGAATGAAATTGAGGAAGCAACTGAAAAGGCGAAAAATTGCGGCCTGCTGCCGGAAAAATTAAAATCTTTATACGAAAAAACTTACTTCGAATATATCAAATGGTGTAACATAAGGAAGAATAGTTTTGCGCCTATTGTTTTTAATTTTTGACGTTTCATTATAGCCCGCTGGGTCATAATAACGCCCGCGGGCTATAAAAAGACGTTTACGTCAAAGAATTTTTGTCATAATTGTCATATTATAATGTCATCGTGCATAAACTTTATAATGTATTGTTTATTATTTTTGGTAAATAAATGTTTATTATTATTATTATTATTGGCGTGCAATGGGGCCACATCAAAATATAAAGAAAAAAAGTACGCCACAATATATGAGCTAAAGCAAAACGAAAATACAAATCCAAAAAAAAAAAAAAATTTGAAAAATCGCCGAAGGAAAAAAGGTATGAATGAAAATTTGCAAGATTATTTTGCAAAAGTTAAAAAGACAATATTAAAATAGTAATATAAATATATTCCCTAAAGGGACACTTTTTTTTGTTTTAGAAAAAGGATAAAAACTTCATCACCATCGTCATCCGATATTTTTGAAAACAAAAATGTCCAATAAATTTTTCATGTTTAGTAAATTATATCTTTTATTTTAGAATTAATAATGGAAACCTTATGAAAAATGATCGAAAAAGGATCGAGTTTCAATCCTGTTTTCGTGATCAAAAACGATATCGAACCTATTTAATCATAAAAACAGGATCGAAACTCGATCCTTTTTGATCACGAAAACAGGATCGAAACTCGATCCTTTTTCGATCATTTTTCATAAGGTTTCCATAATAAGTAAAAGTAGTATATACAACTTTTCATACTCTTACCTTATGACAGTAGTCTGAAAAGAGAGACCCAAAAATGACTTATCCCCTTATTCCCCGAAACCACGGAATTATTGTTGTGAATATTATTTTATAAAATATATGACTGTTATTATTATAATTACGAATTTCATCATCATCGTCGTCATCCGATTTTTTTGAAATACAAAGTGCCCAATAAAGTTTTCAAGTTTTGTAAATTGTATCTTTTATTTTAGAATTAATTATGGAAACCTTATGAAAAATGATCGAGTTTCGATCCTGTTTTCGTGATCAAAAAGGATCGAAACTCGATCCTATTTGATCCAGAAAACAGGATCGAAACTCGATCCTTTTTGATCACGAAAACAGGAGACAAAATCCTTATCAAAAATGATCGAAAAAGGATCGAGTTTCGATCCTGTTTTCGTGATCAAAAAGGATCGAGTTTCGATCCTGTTTTCGTGATCAAAAAGGATCGAAACTCGATCCTATTTGATCCAGAAAACAGGATCGAAACTCGATCCTTTTTGATCACGAAAACAGGAGACAAAATCCTTATCAAAAATGATCAAAAAGGATCGAGATTTAAACTCGATCCATTTTCGATCAGTTTTTTTCAGCAGGGTAGTAATGAACTTCTCTTAAGACATTTATTTCACTTTCTCGATGGTAACACCACTGGACCCCATGGATTCGTGGGACCTATAGGTAAAGCACTGGAATCCTGCCAGAATTTGCCAGTTATAGATTTTGAACCAATTTCTTGTATTTTGCCTGATGTAGTAATTTCTGAGTTAAGCACAGATCAAAAATACCTCTACCAAATGTGTTCTGCAATCTCAAACGGTAACATATCCTTAGATTTATCTAAAATGGCACCTGGAAAACTTGGTCATTCCAGGTGGTTAACTACAGCGAATCGGATATTGCGACTCTACATTGGCACAGAAAATCCTTGTTCCAATCTTAAAGACTTGACCCAGTTTATTCAAACGGTATACGCACCCATGTGGTTTAGGATTAAGTTTAACCCTTCTTGCGAAAATGGTGCCAAGCATGTCTGGAAAACAATTCAATTAAGTCGGTACCTAATACAAGAACAAAGAAATATTATTGATCCAGTAATACAACGGAATGCCTTTTTCATTCACCCCGAAAACCTGTTAATATGTATGCTTGCAGATGACAGATCAAATGTTCAAGAATTAGCATTAAGACGTATACTAAAGGCTAGATTGGCATGTGACAGTGACATAAAGAGAACGTTCGTCATTCCAAAGATAAATTTTGAGGCAAGCGATTATATCGACCTTATTGATTGGCAAATTACTAAAATAACAACTCCACCTATTCTGAATGAGCTTACCGATGAAGAAATTACAAGCTCAATTAAAAATAAATCGCGTGTGTCGTTGGTACATCCCATCTTTTTTCCCTGTCATACCCAGGCTGTGGAACGTTGTGTCAAGTTAGTGACTGAAGCATCACAAAATGTGATTGGCTCCGAAGCTAGAGATGGCTTTATTAAAGTCACTCTTAAATCCAGAGCAGCAATGCCAACCTTTAATACGAAAAAAGAATTTAATCAATAGAACTCTTAAGTGGTAAGAGGGTGGGTGGGTGGAACTTGAAAAGCAGCCACCTCCTCGTGGTGAGTTCTGGGTTGGTTAGTTACCTAATCAAGCAAAGAGCTGCTTTTAATTTAATTTCGCACCGGTTGGGTACAATTAATTTCTGCACGTTTTTGCCGTATTTTTAAGGGTGCGTAGAGGGTAGAAGATATTATCAGATATTTTTAAAAAAAATCAGGGTAACAACTGAGTTATAGTAACAACTTTTTTTCACTATTAGAACTAAAAATATGAAAATTTATTTTTCCGCTCCACCCTAATGTACAGGGTGTAACATAAAAGTTTATGTTAAAATATACACAAAGATAAATGTGGTAAAGATGTGTTAGCCAATAATATTAACACCATGTACCTCAAAAAAGTAAGTAAAATCAAATACGAGTATATGTTGAAGAAGGTTATTTATTTTTATCCACATTAGCTATTTGTTCTACACTTTGTACGAGCCTAGAATCATATCATTTGGCCCAGACAATATTTTATTTTTTACATTATTTCAGACAAAATCTATTCAATCTATTCAATTGAATACAACTATTATTATAATAATAGTTCGATTGAATAGATTTTTATTTTGTGTTTACTAGGGTTTTAAAATTTTCGGAAAAATTGAGCCGGCGGAAAAAAAAATTGGGAAATTTTCAGAAAAATTGACTTTTGCATTTTATTCAAAGGGTAATTCGAAAAAATGCAAAAGTCAATTTTTAGGAAAATTTCTAAATTTTTAAGAATAATATCCGTACACTGATATCGAGAAAAAATTTCCGACGCTGAATCTTAATATTATAATGTAATATAATAAATAGTATAGTATATATAAATCGAAGTGTTAAATAAAACGAAAGTTATGTTAATACAGCACAGAATATTTTTACTAAATATTTACTGTATATAATATAATAATTATTCCTTTTACTATAATTCAGTAAGAATATTCTAGCACGACGCAAAAAAAATATTCGGTGCAGTATTAACATAACTTTCGTTTTATTTTAACACTTCGATTTATAAAATTATAATTTTGTAATTTAACTTTATAAATCATTTTTTATTTTGTAATTGAATATTTTCAATGGACTCCTTTTTGTAAAAATTACCCAACTGACAGTATATTTAACGTTTACCTACGTTTATTTTCTTAAATCAATTTAATGTTTAGTTTTATTTTTATTTTCTGTAAGGATATTTTTTAATAATTAAAATAATGTTAAGTTGATAAATGCTATTTTTTTTTAAATGTGAATATCTATAAAAAAATCAATTTTTCCCAAAAAAGCCAATTTTTCCAAGGCCTGGGAAAAAAACGGAAAAAAAACAAGTTTTTTCCCAATTTTTCCGGTTTTTTTCCGACCCTTTAAAGCCCTAGTGTTTACCAATATTGTCTGAAACAATGTAAAAAATAAAATCAATGATATGATTCTGGGCTCGTATAATAAACACTTTCCTACTAGATTAAAGTAAGTGTATCAACAGGTTAATTACATAAAACCATTAATAAATAAAAGCATCCTTTTTATAAAGAACTATAAAAACTTCATTGTTTTGAATTAGTATAGGTACATCGGTTTAATTAGTGCATATTATTTATTTATGCAAAATTTGCTTTTATCCGACATTACTACACCCTGTAGTTGTAGAGATAAGATCTTACTCCATATTGTAAAGGCTAATTCCCTGTGGGTACCCAAAGATAGGTATAGTAAATGTTAAAGGATAAAACTACTGACCGATAGTCGCCCCGCCTTCGCCCCAACTCCGGTGAGATCCTTTCCGGAATTTCCCAACCGGATCCAGTCCATAAGGGAATGTCCTGGCTGGAGTGCACATTTGTTCCTTGGGTTGCCTGCAAAACGGACATTAATTATACATTTTCTTGCTACAGCAATTTCGACTTTATGGTTTTTAAATTAATTGAGAATGTCCTTTTAGAACTTTATTATATGTAATAAAATTGAAAAATAGTATAGAGTATCAAGTTTGATAAAAGTCAACGAATTTAATTAAAATAAGTTTAGAAAGTTTATAAAAGAGTTACTTTAAGCATAAGAATAAGAATAAGAAAAAGTATAGTAAGCAACTTGCTTAATATTCTTTTTCTTATCTAAAAATTGATATTGATATACAGGGTGTTTCTTTTAACTTGAGACAGCTCAATATCTCGAGAAATACGGATTTCACGGAAAAATGTCTTAAATAAAAGGTTAATGTGACTAAAGGAGACATTATTTGGTGCTACCGCTAGCCACCCCCTACCCCTACTTAAGGGTGAAACGGGGGGTAACTTTGGAAAGTCAAATGGAATGACCCGATTTTTTTCACAGAGTTTGGTAGTAAAAAAATAAATAACTTTTATTTAAAACTTTTTTCAATTTATCAACAGATGGCGCTGTAATTCAAAATTTAAGAAAAATGAGTTTCCTTGTAAAAATTTTACATTTAATGTATTATTTGAAACGTTTGAAAAACAAAAATTAACATTAACAACAATAGTCGGCTATGAAAACAATTTATAACAAATGTTCGAAATGTCGTCATTCCATTTCAACACATTTTTGAATGCGGGTAATGAATTCAGGCACACAACGCGCCAACATATCGGGCGGTATCGCCGCACAGGCGTTCCTGATCCGCTCCACCATGTCCTCCCAAGTTGTAGGAATTGCAGCGTAAACTTTTTCTTTCAAGTAACCCCACTGGAAGAAGTCTGGTGGCGTAAGATCAGGTGATCGAGCAGGCCAAATTACTGGACCACGTCTACCGATCCACCGCGGTGCACCGGCCATTGAACTCCCGATCCAACACCTCTCGAGCAATTGTCGAATAATGTGCAGGACAACCATCTTGCTGGTACCACATGTTTTGGAGCCGTGCTAGTGGTACATTCTCCAAAAGGTCCGTCAGATCGTTTTCTAGAAAATTCCGGTACTTTTCGCCATTTAATGCACCGTCAATAAAGAAGGGTCCGATTAATCGTTCGCTTAAGGTACCGCACCAAACGTTTACCGACCAGGGACGCTGGTGCTCCACTTGGTGTCGAAATGGAAGGACGACATTTCGAACATTTGTTATAAATTGTTTTCAGAGCCGACTATTGTTGATTTAATGTTAATTTTCGTTTTTCAAACGTTTCAAATAATACATTTTACAAGGAAACCCCTTTTTCTTAAATTTTGAATTACAGCGCCATCTGTTGATAAATTGAAAAAAACTTTCAAATAAAAGTTATTCATTTTTTATGTACTACCAAACTCTGTGAAAAAAATCGGGTCATTCCATTTGACTTTCCAAAGTTACCCCCCGTTTCACCCTTAAGGAGGGGTAGGGGGTGGCTAGCGGTAGCACCAAATAATGTCCCCTTTGGTCACATTAACCTTTTATTTAAGACATTTTTCCGTGAAATGCGTATTTCTCGAAATATTGAGCTGTCTCAAGTTAAAAGAAACACCCTGTATAAAACAAAAGAGTAATCATTCTTGGGAATCTGTATTACCGGCGCCGATGAAAATGTCAAATTTGTATGTGTAAATCAAAATGTATCCCTTAAAAATGGACTAACAATACTCATAAAACATTTTCTTTACTTTCACTGTAAAAAACTGTTTATAACACATACAAATTTGACATTTGACATTAAATACACTTAATTTAAATAATTTTTAGATAATAATAAGTATTTGTCGTAGAAACTGTATAGTATGCAACTCGTTTATAAACCTTTCTAGGCACTCATTAATTTAAGCACTCGCTCGCAAGATCGCTCGTGCCTAAATTAAATTCCTAACTAAAATGGCGTTTATCAAACTTGATACATAATATACTATTATCTACTCCTACATTGTCGAGCTGTGACTTAAAATCAAGTTTAGGCAAGTTAGCAATACTGGCTTTTGGGCATTTTAGTCACGGGCTGAAATTAGATTTATTATAAATTGGGGACAGACGTCAAATGTTTAACAAATAAAATTGGCATTAATTAATTCTTTGTTTTCGTTGTAGATAATAGTATATTATGTATCAAGTTTGATAAACGCCATTTTATACACGAATTTAATTTACACTCAATTAATGAGTGTAAAGAAAAGTTTATAAACGAGGTGCATACTATACTTTTTCTACGACAAATACTTATTATTATCTTAAAATGATTTAAATCAAAAATTTGTATAGAGCGCCATCTATGAAACAATTGGGGAATCTGTATGTCACCGTCAAATGTCAATTTTTTTTATTTTATAAATACAATTATAAAGGTTATAAATCGAAATGTATTTCTTGAAAATTGACAGTTTTTCACAGTGAAAGTAAAGAAAATGTTTTATGAGCACTTTACAGTGGAGTCCGTGCCCGAATTTAAGTTATAGTTTACTGCCGGCGAAACTAAACGGTCAGTACAATGTTCATATAAACTTTTCAAATATTGGCGTTGAGAAACTATTTAATACTTTTGTATTTTTGTATTGAGATAATAAAATAATTTTCACATTTAGTATTATTTTACAAAAAAGGCACTTCATTTTAACGATTTTATGACATTCGACAACTGTCAACTAACTTAAAACTAACTTCAGCCCGTGACTAAAGCGCCATAAAGCCACACCTTGTCAATGTGTATTTAAAAGGTCACTTAGTGTCATGAAAACATGTACGATAAAGGGCGTTTTAAAGGTGGGAGCAGAAAAAGTATAGTATGCAACTCGTTTTATAAACTTCTTTAGACACTCGTTTTTATTAAACACTTGCTTGCAAGTTTCGCTCGAGCCTATTAAAATGGAATTTATAAAACTTGATACATAATAAATTAACATTTAACTTAATTATAAAGCTATTCCTAAAAATGCTTGATTATATAAAACATAATATTATATATGAGGGGGTAAGAAGCACAAGGGTACAAGTTCATCAAAGCATGAAAATAAGTTTAGTGCAGAATTGGGTAGTAAATTTTTTTAAAATGTTCTCATAACGTGAAAATTGTACTAGTTCTGCATTTTAACTAATTCAAACAGCAATATTGAAACAAGTAGGTATCCAGATGTTTGTATTTAGCAAAAACTTTAAAACTCCACTTCTCTTTTTTGCACTTGTACCATTTTGCTTTTTACCCCTTCATATATAACATAATAACAACATACTATATAATATGTAATATTATTAACTATTATGTACTATTTTTAAATAAAAAATAATTCTATAATTGTTTTGAATTTAAATAGACTCAAAATATGGTAAATTTAATGTTATCGTGTTAAACCTCTTGCAGATTTTATGTAATGTCCAATTCATAAAATGTATCCCATACACCTGGTTCAATAAATTATTATAATTATTATATAATATTTACTGTAGGTACGTATATTAATCGCAAATTTATTAAAATGTTCATAATAATGATAAAATTCCTTTAATGTAAATAAAATAATACCATTTGTAAACAGAATAAAGTTTAACAAACTTCTTATGTTTGTTGGCAAAAGTTTGAGATTAGATCTTGTTTTAAATACTGATATAAAAAAATATTTATAATTTTTAATTTTTTTCGCTAATTTTACAAATAAATATTTTTTTTAGAATTCCGGCTTTTTAGTTTTTAAAATGTATGCGTACCAACAAAAGCTTACAATACATTGTATACAAATTTCAAAATGGACCATTAAATATTAATAATTGTTGATGATCGCGCTCTCCAAATGAAAGCTTAAGTAATTACCATATTAATATATGGATAAAAACAACACTGGTTTAAAGCTTCACAATTTTTTTTTTATATTTTTTTAAATTAACAATTGTTTAGCTACACGGTGGCTTCTTTAAATTAAGTACAATTTTTTATTATAAGTGGCGGTAATATAATAAATATAATTTTTAGTACTAAAATTCTAAAATAAATTTAGCAAAGGAGATTTGGTGGTTTCAATTTGGCAATTAAGAACATTATCCGATTTTTCTTTAGTTTATTAATTTTCAAATACTCCAGAAGATTTAGTTTGCTGCCTTTATTGGCTACATGTAAGATTCTAAAGTTATCGTCAAATTTGTTGTTCTCTTGTATTTAATGGTTGGCATATGAAGAATCCTGTTTAAGGTTTATATAAGATTTCTTGTGTTCTTTAATTCGTGTATTAAAGCTTTGTCCAGTTTGGCCCATATATGGTCTTTTCCTGTTACAATTATAGATGTATGAGATTAAAGATATTGTTAATATAAGGTAAAAATAATATTGGTCCCAAAATAGAACCCTGCGGAACGTCACTGTTGCAATTCGATGATGAAACACATTTTGTTCTATCTGATGACATTAGTCTGCAAAGTAAAATTGGATGATAATTTCCTCTTTTATTAGAAGTAATGGGGTGTATAGATTGCATTTTACCAAATTTTTTGGATTATAAATAATGGTTTCCAAACATCCACCCAAAACCACTAATTTAAACTTAAATACCACTTATTTAAAAGTGTCTTTTTAATTTATTTTTAAGTGTTACCACTTGACATCTTCAAAATAATAAAAAAATAATTTAAAAGATTTAGTGTGTAAATAAAATGATTGTTTGACATCTGCTGAAGAACCTGGTGTGGTCTTAATTTTGAGGTTCATTTTCTTGATTTATATGATATACGAGGTGTGTTTAGAAAATATCGGGAATTTTCGTTTTTTGAAACAAATATTTCTTTATTCGTCTACATTAATGTTGTCGCCTTCAAAATAGCCCCATTGGATATTATGCATATGTGCCAGCTCTTCTTCCAATACTCGAAACACTTCTAAAACTCGATCTTTGAGATATCCTTTAGTTCTTTCAGCTTGCAAAACGACGGCCCTTTACGGTTCTCTTTATTTTTGGGAATAGAAAAAAGTCTAAAAGAGGCATGTCTGGCGAATATGGAGGCTGGGGCATCATTACAGTATTGTTTTTGGCCAAAAATTTTGTTCAAAA